TCGCTGCTTTATGCTTCAGGAGTATTTAGGAAGGTTTCTATTGCAATGCCTAAATGATGGGTGTTTCATATTCAAAAAAGCGTTTTGTTACTGAGAGCACTGCAGATAGGTGAGGAAAAAAGTTTGGGTACATGTTGTTTTATGGCCATATATGTTGCTGAATACAGCTTTTATATATTTGTAAACTAGCTGTACCTGTCTTGAGACCAAATGGTATTGTAGTCCTCTGGTAATAGCCAGTGACAAGAACTAAATACTGAATGGATAAGTATTGCTGCTATTTAATATAAATAATAAGTGCTAAAAGAAATTACTTTATGGTCCATAATCTATATTCAGATAGCATTTAGAGGTAACTTCATACTAATTATTATAGGTACTGCTGTAGGCAAATAAAAGCTTGGGATTTTAATAAATTTAGATATTGACTAGCAGGATTCTTGCTTATACCACTGTGTCTGGTCGACAGCTGCCTCTGTGCACTGTATTCCAGAAAATTAACTTTATTATGTGAGCCAAATAACAGTCTTGGAGTAAAATTACATTTGGTTAAACATGTCGGTTATAGATAGGACTATAGTCTTTGCCTGAAACATTGTATTAAAATTTAGATAAAAGGTATTTGGTGATTGTTACCATCTCCAAAGGATGATTAAAAAAAGACTTGTAATTACCTATCCTATCCATTTTCCCAGTTGCCCATATGTACCATACTTTTTCCCCCATGGGTGTTCTCTTGGCTTCTTGTTAGGTCCCACTAGCCTAGTCTAAAGCAATCTGCTTAAATCTCCATTCACTTACAGGTATAATCTTCTTTTAAGCCCACATGATACATCCCTTAATCTTATGTAGAATATAAAATTGCTTCAGCTATGAGTTGCTTAGCTTGATTCTTCTGGCAGTTTTTATTTTACATTGGGTTCCTCTTAATACATATATATTTGGACCAAGCTTCTTATTGATTTGGTGGATAGGTGCTGTTGCTGGTGTATTGATTCACTTGCAGTGCCAGCATGCGTTGTTGGCATAAACATCATCCTTTTCTTGCACAGGTTGCAAGCAAACATGTAATGTGTTCATCGCTTCATCCTGGAGTTGTTTCAGATTCTAAGTGTATGAAACTGTTACTACGCTGCTTGCTGTTTTTTTCAGTTTTTCCAAGGTTGTTGTACAGCTACACTACCTGGCTTTTAAGAAGATAAAGTTGAACTTTGGAGGAATATTTAAGCAGCATGATAAAAGTGCCAGAAGAGTTTCCTATGGTGTAATCAGAATTCTGCATCCAGAGGTTTATTTCTGTTTCCTTTGGTTAGCCAGTGTCTTAGTAGGTTTTCTGCTCTACCATAATATGGAATGAACTGTTGTAAAAAAAAAAAAACACCAAAACAACCAAACAACCCTACAGCTTGAATTGAACTGAAAGTAAATACTCTGAAAATGGCTACTAATAACTCAGTTTCTCCTGTTGTAAGGTCAGTGAAACAGTCCTTTAATTTTGTTTATACTACACATAGAAGTGTAAAATCAAGTGTGCAAATGAGGGAGGGGAGAGCTCACAGTAGAAGTTAAAATTTAGAATTTAAAGAATATCTTACTTTATGTGTTTGTTATCTACAGGGTCAGCGTTTCAGCGGGTAAAGGACAATATAATTGCTTTTGCATATTGCACAAATCAAGTTATTAACTACTTACAGGTTAGGATGTTCATCAACCTGTACCAGATCAAAACTGCAATTTAAAAGAATATCCTGGTTTTACCCCAAAAAACTTCAGTGTTGGGGTTGTAGGAGAATTCCAGAGGGGAAGAGTGACACTTTTGCATTATATTGTTCTAATGCTTTGTCTTCTGATGCGCTGCTGTCTGTTTTTGCTGTAATTTTATTTATAGCTTGAAGCTGTATAATATAGCAGACATAAACTGTTAACCCAGAGGTGGAATTAGTGTGATTTACTTTCAGTGTATAGGGCTTAAGTAAAGACTTGATGAAACTATGTTTGGATATAACTTTTAAAAACAGGGATTTAGGCATCTGACTAGCATTAATATTCAGGAGTGATAGGAAGCTGAAGCTGTCACCCTCTTTAATTTACTTTGGCCTAATGCTTAAGTGATTATCATGGTGAGTGAATACTATTAATGATTAGTGAAATATGGAAGAAAAGTAATGAATACTTCTAAAGCATTTTAAGGGTAATCTAAGGCCTTGTATATAGCACCACACAGTGTTCCTAGAGTATTTAACTATTGGAAAGGATTATTAAAGCTATTTTTAATTTTGTCCTATGTATAATAAATCACTAAAGATTAACAAACTGTTTATGACACAGTTGTTCATTTTAAAAAACATTTAAATTTAGAATTCCTGTCTTACTGTTTAGATTGGGGGAAATACACTGTGTACCATAATATATTTCTTGTAATAGGTATATTAAACTTTAGTTGCAGTGTCTTGCTAATGTAAAACTTGCTGATGTAGTTACTGGTTTTTAATAGATCATTGACCCGTCAATCAGACTCTGACCATTTCAGAGATAAAAAGCTAGGCTTTCATTGGCTATTATGAATAGAGCACCTTTCCACAAATTAAGAAATGGTGTAATAATTAACAGGTACAATGGATATGTGCATTCAGATTTCAGTTATCTTTATGAGCTTTAGCTCCTGTTATCTTTGGTGTAGTTAACCCCCTGTCTACACACATAATTTAACTACAGTATAAAAATGGATTTGCTTTGTGGCAGTGGCATTTTGCTAATATGATTGATAGGTTTTTTGCTCATTTTTTCAGATCTGTAATAAAAGTTGTTCTTTCTGACTTTTTCTTTAAAACAAGGCACAAGTACAAGAACTTCACTAACAAAACTCATTAAATAAGTAATAATACTGTTTTAAACAAGCATAGCAAAGATTCTTTAAACAATTTTGCATACAGAGAATTTACCCAAACTTTAATTTTTTTTTCTGATTTACGGACTTAAATGATTATAAGTACTGATGATTCCTGGTATTGGAGTTTAGTATCTTTGACCTAAGAAGTTGCTCGGAAATTGCCAAAGCAGGTCATTCAATAGTGGACTCATTAAGTGAACCAGGAAGTAGGCAGAGGTCACTTACCATTCCTAAGCTCTAAATTTCTTAAAAATCAAAATTTAGGTTTTGAAAATATAACTGATGTTTTAACTGCAAAAATTCATTAAATAACATTTATTCAGTTGCTTTAATGTAATATACTTGCACTGCAAAATATGAATCAGGAAAGAAAACTTTAAGTTTAGAGAAATTACAGAACTGGAAAGTTAAGGAAAACTTTCTGAATTTAAGTATAACTCTTATTAATCTTTAAACATGACAAAAAACAAAAGAGAAGTGATAGTTAAAATGAGAGGCTGATAAAATACTATATAATTGGAAGTTTACCAAGGTATAGAAGTTATTTTTTTGAAAAGTGTTTGCCTGTTAAAGTATTGTTGGCATCTTAATTAGTGCTATTAATCTGATTTCACATGTTTTATATGCCATACTCTTTCAGCTGTGTTCTTATATACCAGATATTTATTCAGAACACATTTGTATAGAGGCTGACATCTTTAGTAAACTCATTTTTGTACTAGAAGTTGGCATAGCTGACATACTATTGTAAATTCAATTTAATCTATTTCAGGGAAGTTCAGTTGCTTAATGACATCAATTGTCCCTATATGTAGACAGTAGTAGATCTTAGCAGTGTTCAGTTTACTTTGTGATCAGTAGCTCACAGATTTTTGTCATGGGTGGGGTTTTAGTACTGTAGTAAATAAGTCACCATTTATTATTCATACATTTTTGTCATGTCAATGCTACTTAGGTATAAGGTGTGCTTATAAAAGCAAATGCTCAGGTGCTTGTCTAAAAAAAGTATTTTCAAAATGCTCAATATTAGTCACAGATCTTAGTGTGTATTTATAAATGTAGATGTAAAAAGATGAGTTATTCTGGAAGAAAATGCAGAAATTTTTCAATTCTATTTGGCAGTGTCATGCCTGCTGTAGCTTGAGTCCAAACCACTGCAGTTGCAAGACAAATAAGCTTTTTTTTTAGAGTACACTCTGAGACTATCAGGTCCACAAAATTAAATCCTCAAGGAAAAAACAGGTGAAAGGGGCACAGCAGTTGTCTTTCTTTCCTATTTGTAATATCTCAATACATGTCCAAGTAGGTAGTTTACTTCTTCATAGAAGATGAGAGCTAGTGGGATGCATTTCTGATCCAAGAGTGGCTTACATTGAGACTCTGGAACCTTAGCCTAACCTCATCTTCATAAACCTTCTGGTTATTTGTTCCTTTATTTTTAATAGCCTGTTCTTTCATTAATCTTCTCATGCTGCAATATACCCTTACTTCCTTAACCAGAGATATATATATATAACTACTTTTTTGCTGTAATCTAATCCTCACACAGATACTACTTAATATTGTAGTGCAAGCGAAACTACTTAAAGCAAACCACAAAACTGATTAATCTGTAACAAATGAAAATCATTAAACAATTCTGCTGTAATCTTTATCTTCCCATTTCTGTTTTTCCCTTATTTAAATTTGAAACTAAAACTCTTGTTTTGCCACAAGGATCTTGTCTTAACGTAAGAAGAATTCATCCAGTTGAATCTCAAGGATAAAAATAAAAAATAGATTTTGTGAAGACCACAACTATGCCAAGATATAGCTTTGTTTAATTCAGACTCTCCATAAAGAGTTTGTGTATATATAGGTATACTGAGAAGAAAATTTGGGGCTATTGGGATGCATTTAGATTTACAATTCATTGTTTTCATAGATGGGTAAAGCTTTCCATTAAAAGTAATACAGTAGTGCTTGGGAATTAAAAACAAAGCTAGTTTCCATGGTTTTAATATGGGGAGGAGACAGAACTACAAAAAACCCCAGGTTTGAATATGATTCTTCTGTGATATTTTTCCTTCAAGTGTTAACTGATTAATTCATTTTTCAATCCTGATTATAGAATACACTTCAAATATGATATGGGATATCTCTGGAAGTAGAGTGAAATACAACTGCATTTCTAGGATCTTAAACTTACTTTTATACTCAACTTCAAGCATTGAAAAGGTATGTTTAGCCTTTGAAATATATAGTTATCTAAAAGCTTTCCTGTGTTACTGTTTTCTTGTTTTAAGTGCAAAAACTTGCTCTAGTACAGTATGTGAAGCCCTACATTATACTTTCATAAAGTAATCTAGGACAGTTAACAGTTATTTAATTTTGAGTACTTTACACTATGGCATCTTAAGCACCAACTTTTCTATGAATACAAAATCTCTGAAAGGTCTTGCAACTCTAGGTTTTAAGCTGGCCTTTAAACATACTGTTATAATGATCTCATCTATTTAGCAACCAAATTGCCCTTCCAGCGTCCTCAGAACTCATTGAGAACTGAAGGATTTAATGGGCTCATTTACAGTGCAGTTGAATCTCAGTTCTTCCTTGTAAGAAACTTAGAAGAACTCTGTTATAAGCTTACTCTGAGGGTATAGAAGGCAGGTAAGCAAATTATTTGGTCCTGAACATATTTTAGTTCACTTGATTTCCATCTCCCTGAAACTAGATACACAAATGCTTGAGAATTTTTGCAACAGGACAGTAAGACTGGAATAAGATGGTATCTTATACCTGTGACAGGTTGGTATTCAGCCCTTTTAAAATTAGGTAAAGACTGAAGTGACAGAGCTGTTTGCCCTACCAAAGTCCAGTTCAGAAATGACTGATTATTTCATTAATCTCTGCATGGTATGCAAGTTCTTTAGAAATGGCATGGACTTGTGTCAGAACTGTGCTGTTCAACCTCTTTTGTACTATAGCACATATGTGGAAGAAATATTTTGTAATTCATTTGAACCTTTTATTCACATGAACCTCCTTATGAAGAGACATTTATATTGTTATGCTATAAAGTACCTAATTAAGAAAGCTACCCATCTGTAATGGCTGTAACCAAGGTAATAAATTTAAAAAGCTACCAGTAGACTTACACATTTTGAAAGGAAAGAAATTATTGAATCTCATCAGGTTACACTTCTAAAGTTCATTTAAAGTAGTGGTAACATTTTCTGTTTGTCATAGGGGATCTGTTACTGAAGTTGTTTTTACATCATGTATTGGGCAGCCTTTTATCTACAAAACTTAACCTCACTATCACTTTGCTTTGTCTTTCCCTTCTTACCTCATCCATTATTTCGGTGTTGAACTGTAAATTCTGTCTTTTTGGTTATTTGTATATTACCATTCTTTAATTACATAACTGAAAACTTTAACAAGTATGAGAATTGTCCTTTAAAAGTTGCATTCTTATGAGCCTAAATTTAAATGTACGACTGCAGAAGTTTGGATACTCCAATCTTTTATTTGTTTTGCAATGAGCATAAAACAGAGCGATACCAGTTACTGTGTTTTGTAGCTTCTTTGTATTATGGCATGATATATCTAATTTTAGTGGTTGTATATTGTTTTTCCAGTTACACCTATAGTATATCAGTGTTCCAGGATGTTTATAGTTTTTCCATGTTACTATGAGCTTTATGAATGTGCAGATTTATTGACCCCTAGTGGGTTGTTAGGAAAATGGCTCTTAATTTAATAAGTGATAAATGAAAAGTTAAATCTCTTTCAATGCTGTGTTTGTTTCAGTGCTCTTTTTTTTCTGTTTGCAGCTGGATTAGCTCCCGAATTTCATTTCTGGTGTTCTGTTTCCTACCTCTGCAGAATTGCCTATTGCAGCAACTTCTATTAACAATGCTCCCAAAACATGTAGCTAGGTGTCTGCATTTTAATGAACACTGTAGCTGTAGCTGTCTATTTTAAAATTACAGTATAGCAGAAATTAAAAAAATAAAAAATTCTTTTGTATTTGTGCTGTGTAGGATGGGCTTATTTTGAATTAGCTAGAAAGCTAGTAACTTCTTGAGTAGTATGATATTATATAAAAGAATTAAAGCAAATTCTAAATCATCTGCTCAAGTTTCACAGACCTCTTCGTGCTTATTAAATAATTTTAATTTATTAGTAATATCCTGAAACTTCCCATTTCATAATATAATCACTAAATACAGAATTTTCATGCTAAAACAGCATGTAAGATATTGCATTTCTAGCAAACTTTAAACTAATTTTAAATAGGTCTAGTATGTTTAATCTTTTAGTTGAAATTGTAATTTTCTCGGAGATTAAATTCTCCCGTGCCATGCTGTGAAAGTTTCTTACAGGAATTTATTTCACATGAATTAAAATGAAGTACTGAATAGTGAATTCACATTTGACTGTTTAATTAGCAATAATAAATGAAGATAAGTCTGCTTAATAATTAAACTTAAATTGAACTTCCCTATAACTGTGCATCTGATACGTGTTTCCAAGTATCAGAATCAGAAATTAAGCCCTACTGTAAATTTATTTTTCTATGCAAGTTTGACACAATAAGTAACTTCCATTTTTTATTTTGTACATTTAATTTTACAGGTTTTTAGTAATAAAGTAATGTTTTTACCAGTTTAATTATGAAATATTCCCTTGAATTTTAGTTATTTCTAAAATGTTAAGAAAAGGCCAAATACAGCTTTTTGCATTTACTAATATTTAGTGTGCTTGTTGCATAAACCACATTGTTTAAAGTCAAACTTAACACAGCAATCAAAAATGTCAAAAAGATCTCAAATTCATATTTTTGTGGGAGCACCCTGTATTCCAGGCCTGCTGGAGGTGTCAGAGCAAAGCAGTTCAGCACCTGCTGCTGAAAAATGGAGAGAACTCCGCTGTTTGTATGATACACATAGTCTTTTTTCTGAAAAAGTCAAAGGTGCTGACCACTTAGTGTTTCAGGCAGAAAGCTCTGTAGTCACAGCAGTTCCTACAAATGATGACAGCTCTCAACAGTCTGAACAGGGGAGATTAATGGATACAAAAGAATATTTGTCTCTTGTATCTGCGGCAGTAACTTGTACCAGCACAGCTAAGACCACCGAAAGTTTAATTTATTCTGATTTTCAAATACCTAAAGACAGATGCACACATGGAAATGTAAGCCAGGCTGCAGATCAACACCTTCCACAAAAATTTGCAGAATCAGCTAGACAAGATAAACAATCACATGGCTGTTGTTCAGACCTCACTGAAAGAAAAGCTAGTCATTTAGAAGTCAACAGCTCTGACATTTCTGATTTGGTTGCCAGTACTAAGCAGATTACCATACACCTAAGGCCTGTGGGACGAGGTGTTCAATCGGCTTGTAGAAGTGATCAGCATGAACATCTAAGTCAATATCTGGATATGTTTTTCCCCCCAAATCAAGAGTTAAAACCAAAAGGAGAACCAAGTGATTGTTCAGACTTTGCAGTGTCAACAGATACTGAATTTCATAGTATAATGACATCAAGTCAGATGGCTGTTTTTGCACAAGATTGGAATGAGATGCAGAACAGAATCATAAAACTATCAGAAACAGGCAAAAAACCTGAAGAAAGGCAGTGTGATAACTTCCAATCTTTTTCTGATGTTGGAACATGTCTTAATGTGCCTGAAAATGAATATAAGGAAGAGTATAAAAGTTCCCTTGAACTTTTCAGCTCTGAGAATGATGGGAAAAATGTTTGCTTTGAAGCTGCAAAACAGGAAGGAAGTGCTCAGGAATATACAGAGAAGTCTCAAGAACTTAATGTTTCTGGTGAGCAATTGGTAAATGAAATCTGTATTGAACCATTGAGCTCAGGAGTATTGTGCTCTCAAGTAGACAGTTGTCACAGGAGCTCTTCTAAAATAGGCTGGAAGTGTGAAGATTCCTTTCATATTTTTCACTCAGCATTCAAAAGACAGCTGAAATCAAAGAGAGCTAAACTGAATTCTTCTCCAGCTGATCCTGGGGTGAAAGTGGATCAAGACAGGATGACAGTGTTCAAGAAACTTCAGAAGAAATTATCACCACTTAAGAATTGCTGCAGTAAAAATCAAAAGTACAATGTTTTGGTCACAATAGTACATCCTTGTCATATCAAAGAAATACAGGTGAAGAGTAGACCAAAATCTTCACGTAAAGTTCCTGTAGCAACAATTGTAGTTATTGACCAGTCAGAAATTGAGAGAAAGGTGGTGCTGTGGCATGGTGCTGCGTTTTGGTCACTCACGGTGTTTCCTGGAGATATTGTACTGCTTACAGGTGAGAATTCCTTTATTTGCCTTTTTAAAATGTGGATCTTTAAAATGCCTGTTTGAAATAGAACAATATGTAATCAGTAATTTGGAATCATGGCAAAGCATTTGTAAGTATCTTTCTTGCATCATTCAACATCACTTTGAATTCTCAGTCATCCTTCCAGTGGAACATCAGCTGTCCCACAGAAGTTTGCCCGTCTCTTACATGTCATCTTTGGTTTGAGACACAGCAGTGCCATAGGTAGTCAGGTGTATTCTGGAATTTGTCAGTGTTTTAAAACAGTTTTTTCTCAAAAGTACAAGTCCTATTACAAACCAGATGTGCTAGTTGTTTGATTTGTAGACTTCTTTGTAATTCTCTGCTGTTGGACCGGCAGATGGACCAGAAAATTGTGATGTTACAGTTGTCTCAGGGTGAGAAATACTTTTCCTCCTGTGAAGGACTTTGTAGCTTAGCAGTAGCATCTTGAGAAGGATCATGTTGTTAACTTGTAACTGACACAGACTGCAGGAATATAAAATGCTGTTTGCAGTTCACCTTTTTCATAACATGTCAGCTAATAATGAAGATTCCTCCTGATAAATCCTTTGTACTCTTTAATATCTAACAGGAGTAGAACGCTTTCTCTTTAGAGAACACATCTCATGTAAGAATGCAGTACTATAAAAATGAAATTGCACCTAATTTAGGGCTGGAGTTGACTGGAACTTGATAGTGATCTGTCCATTTAGGTTCTGCAATGTGCAAAAAATTACACAATATAAAATTGTTTGACTGCTACTACAGTTTAAGATGCCTATTTCTCTTTGTTAAGAGTTCTTTAAGTGCTTATAGGGAAGTGCAAAGGTAGATATTTGTCATGGTTTAACCCCAGCCAGCAACTAAGCACCATGCAGCTGCTCACTCACTCCCCCCATCCGGTGGGATGGGGGAGAAAATCAGGAAAAAAGAAGTAAAACTCGTGGGTTGAGATAAGAACGGTTTAATAGAACAGAAAAGAAGAAACTAATAATGATAATGATAACACTAATAAAATGACAACAGTAATAATAAAAGGATTGGAATGTACAAATGATGCGCAGGGCAATTGCTCACCACCCGCCGACCGACACCCAGCTAGTCCCTGAGCGGCGATTCCCCGCCCCCACTTCCCAGTTCCTACACTAGATGGGACGTCCCATGGTATGGAATATACTGTTGGCCAGTTTGGGTCAGGTGCCCTGGCTGTGTCCTGTGCCAACTTCTTGTGCCCCTCCAGCTTTCTCGCTGGCTGGGCATGAGAAGCTGAAAAATCCTTGACTCTAGTCTAAACACTACTGAGCAACAACTGAAAACATCAGTGTTATCAACATTCTTCAAATACTGAACTCAAAACATAGCACTGTACCAGCTACTAGGAAGACAGTTAACTCTATCCCAGCTGAAACCAGGACAATATTTTAAAGAGATTGAAGATAAGTTGGGCTTTTTCTTTTCTGCTTAGACATTCTCATCTCAAAATACATCAAAAGTGTTTCTGGGTAAGCCTAGTACTTTACTAGTCATTCTGAAATGTTGCACAATAATAATTTACCCAATACAGTCACTCACTTCACTTATACAGTACCTGCTATGAGGCTATTGAATATTTTATATGAATTGAAGAATTACATCAAACTACTGAGAAAAATTGATTAACTCATTGTAAATGGTGTTGGCAGATTTAAAAAAAAAATCAATTTATTTCCAAGTGATATCTTTCAAACTCTTTCATACCTGTATGTATGATGGTTCTATAGTCAAGAAAAGTATGACACACTTCAATATTGTTGATACATGAGTTGATAAGGTTGCTTTTTTTCTTGCAGATATAATAATGTATGAGAATCTTTGGTGTGGAGAAATCATGCTGCAATCTACATTTGCCAGTCAGTTACTGAATCTGGGGAACTGCTCAGCTCTCAATCCAGAAGAATGTAAGATTATAGTGCATAAATTTCCACAAAAATCACAGTAAAATAGCTATTTAAAGTACTCTGTTTTGTTGGCAATGCCTCGTACCCAGGATAAAGTGGAAATGCAAGCAACTGAGGTGTACGAAACACCTATAAAGTATGACAGGAACACCTGTGGACAAGGTGTGGTCATGATGACTTCAGATAGGCATGTGTAGTTGATGGTAATGTTGGGTGGTTACCATTCAAGACTCTGAAAAACTGAAGAAACAGCAGTTATTCCAGGACTCAACCATAAGATTTCATGAGGATTAAATTTTTCACAAAAATTTTAGAGCCTTACAGAGTTAAGTGGATTCATGCAGGGAAAGTAGCTCATTGCAGGCTATTAAGCACAGTCTTCAAAGATACCTGAACCACAGAGGGTTGGAGACTAAGGGGAAAATACAGTGGAAGTATCACTGTGAACTTGCATTGTTCTTACTGTCTTCCTGATGTCCATTATTGCCAGCTATTTAAGGCAGGTTCTGGGGTGAATGATCAAGAGTGGCTGTTCTTCTTACCAAGCTATGATACAAGATTTCTTTCCTGTTTTTGGTGTAGTGTAAAATACTGTACTTGGTTTAACTTTGGGATGTTATCAAGGGGAGGCAGACAAAGTACAGTTTAATTTTGGATCAAGTGTTACACTTCTCAAGAATTTCTTTCCTTAGAATTATTGTGAAATGGTTTTGGTTTTGTCACTGTAGATATGTACCAACTGATAAATTTTGTACTTCTAAGCTTAAAAAAAAAAAGGGTGTCCTTTTTAACTTTGTTTTTTCATATAAGTTTATCCTATAGTGGATGGTGGTGTTCTCCATAGCTTATTGGCATACATATCATCAGAATTTCCACACTTTGGAGACATTCCACAAAGACAAGTTCAGAGGCTGGATAGTGTTCGGTATATGCAGCTAGACCAGCTCCAGGCAAATACATTGGTTCACTCTATCTTGAAAATTATCAACATTATTGTATTAACAGGTAAGTTCATGCACTAGACTTTAATTTCCAAAATTTCAACAATAGGTAAAACTTAAATAGTAATTTTGCAAGGCAATTCTGGTTGTTTCCCATTCCATACACCAGTGTTCAACACAGGAGTCACAAGTAAAACCTTTGTAATGTTCCATTCATGGGGGGCATAGGAGTTAGAGACAGAAAGGAAATAAAGACTGTAGTCAGCTTCTGAAAGGAGGTTATTGCACACTAGTGCTGATCCATAGCATACATGTGTCTGGGAGAAGCATGCAGGCAGTGGGCACTGATAATCAGTGTTGCTACTCAGTGAGGGATTGGTGTGTTTTCACTAGGGAATGAGTGCTCACCACAGACTGCAGTTACTAATGTATTGACTTGTCAGTGGGATGGCTTGAGCATCTCCACAGCTCCAAATAGTGTGGTACCTAATCTTCAATAAGACAGATGATTGAAGAGACATGCGGGTACAAAGTATAGCGTTGGGAGGTGGAATGGCAGCAGGAATATATTAGATATGAGGAGTGTGTGCTCAAAATCCTTTCCAGGAAAGATAGGTGTGTATAGCAGGACTGCTGAAAAGAAGGAGATGCTGCAGTTACGGTAGCGGAACATAAATATGTTTTTAAATGGCTTTTGAAATTTGAGAGGTACATTCTTGCTGTAGACCACTGCTTGAGAAAGGGGGCTGGTTTATGAAAATGTCATGTGGGACAGTCAAGCTTTACTAATTCAAAGCTCACCTGCCAATTACCTTCCATGTAAGCATCCTGTCATTAAAGGAAAATTTGATTGCGCTATAAATCATGTTATTCAGAATGAAATTACTGATTATTTTAATCTAATGTTTTAGGATTTGCTTGCCTTTCTTACTTTATAATGGAACTATGTTGCTCTCTTATAATGTTTTCTTTGAAACATTTCCTGTTTATTTCTTTCTATTTTTTTCTTACTTTGAATGAATTTTTAAAGCTAAGCATTCCTGGTTTTTAAATATGTGAAATATTTATTTATAATAATCCTTGTGTGCCTTTTTGTACAAGTTCTTTTTGATTTTCAACACTGGAAAATGCACAGTGTGAAACTACTAGATATCTTACTGTGATACTCCTATTTATTCCACATAGGCACAACAGAGAAAAACCTCATTAATATAATTTGTTCTGGAAATCTGAGTTTCCTGTATATTTTTTTATTGCAAAGACTCCTCTCCCCCAAAGAATCATGGTCAACAGTCCATGTACTGATTTGAGTTTATTCTTCTGTCACACATTCCTTTTCATCTAATAGTGAATGCAGTTATTTCAAGATTCCTTTTGCTGAAGCAATTTTCCATGTTAAAATTAATAATTTGTTTCCATTTCTTCATAATCAGACCTTACAGCTGCTTTCTCGCATCATCTCCACCTTCTGAAATGAACAAAACCAAATTATCTTGGGGCATTCTCAGTATTTCATGTAGTGGCTTGCCATTGTTTTTTAACATGCTTCGGGCAGTTGAAGACCACTGTTCCTACCTGGAAAAGCAGTCTTCCTCTCTTTTTCCTGCATAACTGTTCTGATTATCTTTTCTTTACAGTATCACTGTTTCTTAGTGCTTGACTTAAAGCTTTGCACATAAATCTGATCATATTGCATTATCATCTTGTATTCATAAGATTCACATTTTTACATAGACTGTCAATATCATGTTTATTCATTATAAATGGAGAATTTTGAAGATAGAAGTCTTCATAATTTATTATTGTACATAAATCTCAGAACTGTTAGATATTTAAAGCAAGAGTTCTTGTTCTAAAATTATTTATAAAAAATATTGTGGTTTTAGTATGCAGCTGAAACTTACAGGTAGTATCCTGGGTAAGAGTGCTGTAGAGCTCCTAATTGTTTCAATTTATATGTACTGTTACTAATCCTCTTAGTGTGCTTGTACATTGACTATAGTTTCCTTTTTTATGTGAAAAAATTCTAGAGAAATGTTCCTCTCAGTGTATTCCACAGAAGTTACAGGAAATTTAACTTCCGATTATGACAGTTTGTTGAGAGTTTGAGTACAATTTCTTTCTACTTATACCAGTCAGGATGAGTGGGAGCTGAAAGATGTTCAGACACCTGCTGTTTCAAAGGGAGGTGTCCAGTTGCTGAGTACTTAGATGGATAAAGGTGAATTAATATACTTTATACATTCCTTGAAACTAGAATCATTTTGTTGAAGAAATGAGATTGCTTTCATTCTGTCCTGAAGAAATTGTAGGTGTATTGTTGTTTGCTTATAATTGTACCGTAAAATATGTTAGCAGCATGATTTTATCTTAATATTGAGGCATGTGGGGTTTGTGTGTTTATATGCTTTTTACTGTGGAAGTCGTACAATTTCGAACTTTTTCAGAATCTGTGTATAGCTACAGAGGTGGCAGCCAAAGAAAAATTATTCTAACAGTAGAACAGAACAGAGATCAACACTATAGGATGGTGCTGTGGGGAGCAGGAGCTGCCTGGTGCCCTCAGCTTCAAAGGAAAAAAGGTAAGGTCCTTGTACCCATAGGTAGCTGTAAAAGAATTTTTGTGATGCTATTAACATCTTTAAAATGTGCAGCTGGTAGCTTTTTTCCATTCACCCTTTAAATACTCTTCTTGGAAGGGCAACATATTTGATACCAATTTTAACATGTCTTCTCTGTTTAGAAGCAGTGCCATCAGCAAAAGAATTTGAATGCACTCACTTTAGAAGACTGAGAAAGCATAAGTATTTAGAAACTTGAATCTAGCTATAAGATGCAGTGGTGCCTAGTTATGTAACTACAAAAAAATCTTGAATGTTAACTATGTTATCAGTTTTGCTGAGTCTTCCTTATTGTTGTCTGGTTTAGCATGAATTGCTGGGTTTTTTTCTAGTTCTGATTTTCATTCTCTGCTTTCCACCTTACTACAGTGTCAGACTTTATATGCTAACAGTCTTGCTATCAAGTTTAGCTGTAAATGACTAAAAGCATCTCTTGCAAGAATTACATAGCCTGTGTTTTAGCAGTGACTATTACCAAATTTTTGTTTTATTCCTCGCTTTGCTCTTTTAAAATAAGGCAACTAGGTTTTTGTTAAATTGATAACTTAAGAGTTTGTATTTCTGATCAATGGATACACTTAAGTAAATGCTGTATTACTTGAAGCACTGAATATGTCTGCCTAAAAAGCCAGTTTTTGTATAGCACAAAATAAAACCCAGAGAAGTTAAACAACCTCATAGTGCATCTGTACATATTAAATGTAGACACTCTGAATTCTGCCAGTTCTGCTTCAATTTATAAGTAATCTCTGCTCCTAGAAATCATTTAACTGCAAGAACTACCTCTTAAACTACTTGAAGAAGATGGTCCAATTTAAGCATTAATCAATTAACTTTATTGCATAATATCTACATGGCACTTATTTTTGTGCATACTTCAGAGTAAGTAGGTATATGCTGCTCTTTAGAACAGCTTAGAAATCTTATAGAATTTCGTATGGTAGAATTTTAATTTTTTTTTTCTAGCTGCAAAAAGAAGATACCAAGTGTAATTTCTAAGACACAGTAATATATCATTCTCTGATGCTTAAAGCAGAAAAGCATAAGATGTAGGTCTCTGTAGCATTAACTGTTTGTATTTGATGTAAAGCTTGTGTCTTATTCTCCAGCTAGTATTCTGTTGGCATTTTAATGATTAAAGAATTATCTGAAATTCAAGATAAGAGTGATTTCTCAACTATTCAAATACTTAATCACAGACAAACCATGAACATTTGATCCCAGTAAGATAGCCAAAAAGATAAATTCACATGATACTAAAGCATACACAACAGCTAAATAGTGTGAGTGGGTTACAGGAAGAGCATGATGTCCATCCTTGCTAGGAGTCATGGCATAGCTGTGGTATGTGTTTACTGGTTGTACTAGCAGATCAGAAACCTCATAGTCTTGTAGAGGAAGGTATGGAGACTTGTGATTTTTAAACTGTCTACATACTTAAAGTACATAAGACTATACAGTTCTAGAGCATCTAAAAATTGTTGGCAGTATGTATTGGGTTTGTGTGGCAAGGTTTTGGTAGTGGTGGGGCTACAGGGGTGGCTTCTGTGAGAAGCTGCTGGAAGCTTCCCCCATGACCAAAAGAGCCAAGGCCAGCTGGCTCCAAGATGGACCTGCCGCTGGCCAAGGCTGAGCCCATCAGCGACGGTGGTAGTGCCTTTGGGATAACAGATTTAAGAAGGGGGAAAAAAGTTCCTGTGGGACAGAAACTGCAGCTGGAGAGAGGAGTGAGAAGATGTGAGAGAAACAGCCCTGCAGACCCCCAGGTCAGTGCAGAAGGAGGGGGAGGAGGTGCTCCGGGTGCCAGAGCAGAGATTCCCCTGCTGCCCGTGGTGAAGACCATGGTGAGGCAGGCTGTCCCCCTGCAGCCCAGGGAGGTCCATGGTGGAGCAGATCTCCACCTGCAGCCCTGGGAGGACCCCACACCTGAGCAGGTGGGTGCCTGAAGGAGGCTGTGACCCTGTGGGAAGCCCACGCTGGAGCAGGCTCCTGGCAGGACCTGCAGACCTGTGGAGAGAGGAGCCCACGCTGAAGCAGGTTTTCTGGCAGGACTTGTGACCCCACAGGGGACCCACGCTGGAGCAGTTCCTGAAGAACTGCAGCCTGTGGGAAGGACCCATGTTGGAGAAGTTCATGGAGGACTGTCTCCTGTGGGAGGGACCCCACACTGGAGCAGGGGAAAAGTGATGAGTCCTGCCCCTGAGGAGGAAGGAGCAGCAGAGACAATGTGTGATGAACTACTGTAACCCCCGTTCCCCGTCCCCCTGTGCTGCTGGGCAGGGGGGTAGAGTATTCAGGAGTGAAGCTGTGCCTGGGAAGAAGGGATGGGTGGGGAGAAGGTGTTTTAAGATCTGGTTTTATTTCTCATTACCCTGCTCTGATTTGATTGGCTTTAAGTTAAGTTAGTTTTTTTCCCCAAGTCAAGTCTGTTTTGCCTGTGATGGTAGTTGGTTGAGTGATTTCTCCCTGTCCTTATCCTGACCCATGAGCCTTTTGTTCTCCCCTGTCCAGTTGAGGAGAGGAAGTGATAGAGTGGCTGTGTGGTGCTTAGTTGTTGGCTGGGGTTAAACCGTGTCACAGTAAAAGTTAAATATTTTTCATCTCTTGCTGAAAATCAGTCTAAGCTTCCAGTATACAGTCATCAGACATTCCATTAATGCTTTACACTCATCTGGTTTAAATTACAAAAAAAATTTCTGTAAACTTGATTACTTATAGTTTACTCATGTTTTGTGATCAGTTTTCTAAGCAACAGGGGAATGCTGAAGATCTGAATAATAGGTTAAATTCAGGTATCAACCAAATATTGTACCCTAGTTGGACTATGTCTTCTACTTCCATATATCCCCTCTTGCCAAGTGCCTGTTTGTTTCCCCCTGTTTTGATTTTCCATCAGTGTTGCTGTAGTGTTACTGCCTGAATCTTGCTTGGGGCTGGAACATACTTAGTTCAGGGGGGCTGCAAGATCTCTATCAGATATGAGGTGCATGAAACTAGACTGATGCTCAGAGGAAAAGGGTTTGGGGGAGTATTTTACTATAAGACACTGCATCTGACAGCAGATTTTTCAGGAGCTTGCAATTTTAGCAAGTTACCACCAAAAACCAGACTAATCCAAAATATGAAAATACTAAAACACACTAATAAAATGCTTACACAAACACTGGAACACATAAAAAACAAACACCTCAGTTTTTCTAGCCTTATTTCTGAAAACAATTATTTTGCTGCAACTTTCAGCTTGAGCAAACACGGGAAAAAATAACAGCCTAAATGGTTATCAGACTTGATTAGTAGGTGAATATTGGATTCTTATAACAAAGTGAAGGATGACCCAAAATGTATTGCTCTTCTGTAATCTCCATTTTTAAAGTATTTTTCTTTATGACAGAGTCAATTGGAAGATGGAAAATTAATTCATATTTTTAAATCGGAACATTGTGGAGATAAAAGATTAAACAGGGACATATTAAAGATGGAAGTTGATTAATAACATGAAAACTTTTTTCCTAGACATTGCCAACTTTTCCTTATTAGAGCTGACAAGAAATTTCAGAACTGGTTTCTGTTTCAAAACATTGAGTTGTCTTGAAAGCTGAATTTCATACAAGTGAAGTGAAAGCGTCATCCTGTATTGGGAGGACTCAAGCAGAGTTTATAGGGAAAGAAAAGGAAAAACCCTACATGTCATCAGGCTTGAAATAAAGTTGCCAGAGCTAAGCATATGAGACTGTCTTACTGATTTGTTTCTCAATCTTGTAAGTGACCTTGGCTTTCTATAAATTAATTAAGGTATAGACAGTAAACACTTCTGTTTGCTTTTTTGTTCTGTAGATCACATATGGGACTTTAGATACCTTCTGGTCCGACATAGTTCTGTCTCGGGTGACTTTGAACTGCACACAACTCCATGGTCATCCTGTGAGTGCTTGTTTGATGATGACAAAAGGGCAATTGAATTTAAAGAAAAGTTTCAGAAAAGCAAAGCATCCCTCATGCAAATGACAAAGCTCTCAGCACATTTGGAGGAAAAATGCTCAGGTAAAGTTTTCCACAGCTCTGTAATGTCTTGTGCCGTGCATAACTAAGCAAAATAAATGCTTTGTTGATCAAGTAAAAGACTTTTTTGCAAGTTAGCACAGTTCTGGGAGTCTGAATTTATTCTGGAGGCTGCTGCTCAGTACCTAGCCAAACTGTGAATGCAGCCTGCATTCAGTGAGCCCAGAGGTGAGATAGATGTGGTATATGGTACCATAAAAAGATAGCTTTGGAACATAGGGAAAAATGCTTCCTTTTGTTGTCCACACCAGCCAGTCTAGTAATGATGCGATTAATTGCTGAAAGTTTGTTGAATAGTGTTTCTCTGAAACTGGAATTCTCTAAGGCAAAAGTAAAATAGCTACTGCTATTGAAAACTTCTTACAAAAGAAAAAAATAAAACATTTTGCACAGTTATCCCCTCCCAGATAAACCTAGAAGATTGCTAAGGTTGGTGTTAAACATTAAGAAGTAACTACACAAAGTTGGTATTGCAGCATCTAACTTTAACAACTTCGCTTTCTACTATTTATACATAAACTAAAACTATGCTTTTCAGTGTCTCTGAATTAGCGTAGAGGAAAAGCAATTGGAAATTATTTGCACAATTCTGATCTCTTGATTTCTTACTCAGGGTCTTCTATAGTGGCATCTACCACAATAGTACCTGAAAATATAGTACTTCTATACATTTTAAAATAATATTTAACCACAATGATTTTTCACTGCATGTATCATCTCTAAAAATATGAGCATGTGCTACTAAAGGAAAAAAAAAATTCAGAAAGTTTTACTGGCAATGATTTTGGTTTTGAATCAACTGTAACCCTTGCTTTTACTTTCAGTTACATATAAAATTGAATGCAGATTTGATTGAAATTGTTTTTGTAGGAGTGATTCAAGTGAAAGCCCATATCTTAGAACTGAAGTTTACCATTTCAACTGGTCAATACAAGCAACTCGTCTTCCATGCTGACACTTCACTGGAGTGTGTTTTGGCTTCTCTGCCTATGATTACATATTCAGGTTGTGCTAAATGTGGTTTGGAACTACAGGCAGATGAGAACATGATCTACAAGCAATGTGTTCAATGTTTGCCATACAACAAAGTAAAAATGTTCTACAGGTAAATAAAACTAAAATAATGTGTACTAGTAGGGAAGTAAACTATGACTTTCTCTATTTTAAGTTCCCCCATATGTAAAATTCTGTATTTAAGGTGTGGTTAGCAATTCCTGTTTTTCTAATGAATTTTCAAGGAGCTGTTCTTGAATTTCTGTATTATATTGCCATTATTTATAAGTGATATTCTTTGTTTAAGTGTAACTTTTTAATTTCTTTGAATACTACGTCATACAGTAACATTTCCCCAGTACCGTGTCAGTAAGTTAAGATGGAGTAGAAGCTTGAGGACCAAAGGAAAACTCCTTGATTGTCTTGTTTCAGCCTAAGTTTGAAATGGTGAACGCACAACCATATTTTTAAACTGATTAATCAATTTTAGCCTTTCAGAAATAATATCAACAAATGTTTTCAATAAACATTCTCACAGAGAGCAGAGATTCTAAGTTCTCAGCAGATGGCACTATAAGACACATTTATCGTGCTCTACAGCTACCTGAAAGGAGGTTGTAGTGAAGTGGGTGTCAGTCTCTTCTCCCAAGTAACAAGTGATAGGACAAGAGGAAAAGGCCTCAAGTTGTGCCAGGTGAGGTTTAGATTGGGTATTAGGAAGAATTTCTTCACAGAAAGGGTTGTCAACCATTGGAACAGGCTGCCCAGGGAAGTGGTTGAGTCACCATCCCTGGGGGTATTTAAAAGATGTGTAGATCTGGCACTTTAGGACACCGTTTAGTGGTGGACTTGACAGTGCTAGGTTAACGGTTGGACTTGATGGTCTTAAAGGTCTTTTCCAACCTAAACAATTCCATGATTTACTTAAAGACAATAAACTAAACAGATCCAGCTGATGTAGGAACAATGTTATTAACTAATTGTTCAATTATTAAATTTATCTTGGGCTTTTGAAATATAAGTATCATCGTGACTTGAAAGATGCGTAGGTAGAGGAGGTTGACACAACTATAGACATAATAAAATTCTAGAATATATAAATTTTCTACCAAAATTCTTTCTAAAATTATTCCAAAACTATTTCATAGTGAGTTTAATGAATCATTACATACTCAATAGTTTGTCACTTGGCTTTGATTTAAATACTAGAATCCCATTTGTCTAACAAAGTAGCGACTTAGTCTTTTTCCTCTAGGCAAAATAGTCTTACAACATTAGGTTTATATGCTATTTATTTTCCTATGAGGGAGGATTAAGTGCAAAGAGATTTTTTTCTTAACTGCAAAGGTTCCCCCTCTTTCGTAGGATTATGACCTTTCATGTGGTCCTGAAAGACCTCAGTTTACTCTCTTGCACAAAAGGTGATAGACAAATGATAAAGTTTTCCCATGTTTGTATTCAGAGCATGTGAACACATCTTGATGTGGAACTTAAATGAACAACTTTTTCAAAGAAAAGTCTGTCACTTTTGTACTGAAATTTTGCTCTGATTAGTAAGAATGCGTCTCCTTGGTAGTATTTCCAGATTCTGTATTGTAGGATAACTTAGTATATTTACATCTTAACAGAAGAAAATCGGTCTCTTGCTAAAGAAATACCTTGTTAAAATGAAATTAACTTATTAACTAAATATGCTGTCCTAGCATTATTGTGCTACTCAACAGCTTCATATATCAGTGGTCAGTGTTAGTCTTGTTTATAAAACTGTATGCACAATTAGTAGAAAATTACTTTTTTTTCTATAGTTTGCTAATTCATGTTCCCTTATCTCAGATTGGTTTTAATCCCTCAATATAAGGAGGTAGTAAGTTCAGTATGCTCTATTTCTAGCAATGCAATAGCTACCAGCATCTCCTTGGGAGTAAAATCTGCATAGTGTTTTCTGTTTAGTATGAGATGTAATAATACTAAACACTGTAGACTTAAAACATAGTATTAGTCTGTAATTTAGTTTGCTTCTTTGATTCAGGGAATGTAGTAACTTATTAACTTAACATAGAAATTTTATTTTAACAGTGAATGTTTAAGATATGAAATAGACACTATGATAGGAAAATAGATATTATGACAGGATCTCAGTATTTAAGAGACTTGCATAGCATTAAAATCTCAGGTTTCAATACTGTACGTCCTTGAAGTCATCCCTTATCTTTTCCCTTTGAAATGCAGGAGCCCAGTTTTGTTCATCTGCTGTGATTATAATGAAGCTCATCTTTTCCTTCAGATGCTGAAGATACAAGCTTAGGATAGATGCATGTCTATATGCCTATAGCTTGCTTTTTTTTCCTAAGCTAGATGCTCAGAACACTGAACACTTCAACAGTAGCAGTAATAATGAGGCAGAAGATCATAGAAACTTACACTTTACACAAGTACTGTCATATAATGTGTGTAAATATTTCCATATTCTTTTTGAGCTAGAACTATGAATATCAAGCTAGAAGAAATCATGAAAACTAAGACAAGCGAAAATATTTTGTATTTCAGAGATCACTTCCTAGATTTCAGGTATCACAGCTAGGTCCTTGTTTCTTACATCTGTCTTTGCCCAAACTTTCAGTTTCCTAGCATCTTTTCCCTGGAATTTGGTATGATGGTAGTGTTCCCTTCAGATAGTTCATTTTTTAGTCTATACCAATGAGTATTTGTCATTCAAAAAGATGAACATTTTAACAGTAGCAGTAATGAGATAGGAGATTCCTGGTACTTACGCTCAGTGGGGATTGAATCTAACCCTTCTGTAACAGTGGAAAAGCCCACCAGCTTCACCAGCTTTATATATAGGTACTAAAGACTCTTTACTTAGTAGCCTCTAAGGACTATTTTAGTAGAACTATGTATGCCTTTAGTGAAATTTAGTTATATCCTTAAATATGTTTCTAACTGTTTTACAATTATTTAAATTCACCATATTAAAAACAATGTTATTTAAGGAATAAAGTTAATTGCAAAATTGAATTTTCTGTGGCCCTAGTGAAAGAAAATTAACAATGCTAGGCTCTGTTTTGAAGGCTGTGTTGAATTTTCTGTCTCCATGACAGTTCACCCTTGTTGAAGTAAATAGGATTACCTGAAAGAAAACTTAGATGACCTTGAGAACAGAGTATGAACTGAGAAACAGGTAGTCAGCATATAATAACCAGAAATGAAGCAAAATTAATCTTTCCTAATGCATTACTTGGTTTGTGAGTTACATCTGTAGACTACATTTGCTTATGGTTTTGAAAGCTTTAAATTTTGCAATGTCTCTTAGTACATTTCTCTGTGAACGTATTTAAGTTAATTATACTCTTTCTAAAATGTTAATTTAGTGTTTCTGGAAGTCATAATAATTTTCATGTACTTCAACATAAATTGCCTAAACCAAAATACATTTCTTCAGGGATTAAATAGCAATTGCCCACAATTATTTGGGAAGCTGAGCCTGTAAGTGTACTGTTGTTAAGCTTGCTCTCATGAAGGGAGCCAGCAGTCTTAATGACTACAATTAGTCTGGGCCATGGTTTCTGTCTAAACCAAAAGATTTGAAATAATCCCACGGATAATCAGACATGGAGTTCTCTTATCTCTTTTGATCACTTCACTTAAGATTATGAAATTTAGCAGTAGTTTTTAGATTAACAGATGGCAGGTCAAATGACTTGCCTACTGGGAAAGTGGCATATTTGCAGTCAGTTGCCTTTGTGCCTCACAGGCATTCAAATTAGTGCTGTTAGGTATATTCTGCATCACGCTAACTAAATTAATAACACTATCCAGTTGTGAGTCTACTGAAGTACTGGCTGACTGTCCTATTTGATAGTGCAGCTCTACTAGTCTCCTGAAGTGACTGCCCTTTTGTTTCTACCATCTCTGCAGTGAGCACATTTTATCCTGTTGGGAGCATCTCCCATTGAAAAGTTCTGCACTCAAGATGATTGTGCCTTATTTTATTACTATATTTAACGTATACTGTTTTGGTACTGTTCCAAGATTGCTATAACCAGGATTTACATTATTGTCATATGTCCTGATGTTCACTATTTTAGTTTTTTCTGTAGAATGGTCAGGATATGAGCATTGCATCCTGCTTTGATCAGAGCAGTGCAGATTTTCTAAGAAGTGTGAGTATTGTGATGGTGCAGATGTTGCAGGTCAAATTGTAAGTAGTCTCAGGGCAGTCAAAGAGCATATGTTGGGTAGAAGCTGTATTAGCTGTATAAACGATTAGGCTTAGTAAAAACACTCAGAAGCTTGAAAGCAGGCAGAAACTACCTGTTGAACATCACTATAGAGGACTGCTAATGTATCATCTCACAGAAGCATAGCAAAAAGCAATAGCAAGGACTTACTTGGGGGAATAATAAAAAAAGGTATGGCATCAATATTGACAGGTTGAAAAGACAAACACTTAAAATATAGGGAATACCTGTACTAAAAAAAGGATCACTTCTTACCAGTTGCTTGTCATCCAATATCACTTTTGAATCATGTGAAACAGCAAAATGTTGAAAGACCAGTGCTTGTGGGACAGCAATCCCTAACCAGGTTCATTTCAGACCTAATAGGAATACTATTGACCATATGATTTCCAGGAAGAGGAGGGATTTTTACTTGTATAAGGGTATGCGAAACCATTTGGTATTTGTCGTAGTACAAAAGATACTGTCTTGGTATTGCGTAGTGGCTATGAAGTGGTGTACTAAGACAATATTAGGTGATGTTGATACAGATGATACAATTCCAAGTGATCCAGCTAAGCTTGTCTCCCTACTTTGCATTTCAAATCTCTATGTACCCCTTGTATATTTGTAGGTACATATACTTACATATTAATGTTTATACTTTAAATATATAAAGTTCAAAGCCATAAATGACATAACACTAATTCGTAACAGTGCAGCTCTCGTCTTCTGGGAAAAGACTACTGCCTAAGCATCGTTTTCTGCAGTTCTCTGAAAGTAAGGCTTACTTGATAGGTTTAGAAGTTATTTTAACATTGAGTAGTAAATTCAGTATACATATCTCAAACTCATTCCAGCTCTACAGATTTGACAGAGGTGAGTGCATAGAGATTTTCTAGTTCTTGGTGTTATGTTGGAAGGTAATATTACATTGTATTACTTTCAGAAATTTTGCTTCAATCAAAGAAACGTAGCAGCTAACTTTCAAGAGTTTTTTGTTTTCTGATCTAGACCTGCTTTGATGACAGTAGAAGATGGAGGATATGAAATCTATGTTCATGTGGTGTCTGAGTTGATGGAAAAAATCTTCCTAAATATTCCTGCAGACTGGCTGAACAGATTAGTAGGTACTGTTTCATGAATTACTTGTGATAGAAACAGGCAGCAAAATTCACAATGGAAGTAAAATTATTAATTATTCACAATTTAGAATTGGGATGAGATTGTTCTGGAAATATGATGATTGCTCATAAGTAAGTCTTGTATAAGACAAAAAAAACCTCAAAGAGAACACTTCAGTTGCTGTCTGACAAACTCAGAAGTTCAGAGTTGAGGTAGCAACAACAAGAGGTGAGATGGTATGAGCATTTATTGTATGTTATATAACTAAATATTTGGTAACTAAATGGATTCCTTATATGCAAAATAGAATCTCCTAGCAGTTTTTAGAAATGGCTAACATGCTTTCATGATGTAAATAACTGAGCAGTGTTTCAGACAGGCTTTCTTTGATACATCCTGTTTGACTTCTTGAGAGGTGTTTTAATTTATTCACAGGTGTTAGTTTAATGAGTAACAGTCTTATCACATCTGTTTTTAATGACTTTTTAAAAACAAAGTTAATTTTCTATTCAGACATTGAGATACACTTCCAGTAATTCAGTGTAGCTTTCATGGAGGTGGAACTTGAATGTTAGGTGCTATTGTGAAAATAAAGAGTAAATTGGATTGTTCTGTCTTTGCAGTGCCCTCTTCAGATATGATCTACAGCACAATAGTAGCAGATCTGTGTCATTTGCTGCTATCAGATAAGGAAGCATCCTATTTGTTGGAAATTAGGAGCCATTTTGTGCTAGATGAAAACAGCTATCCTTTGCAAAAGGATTTCCATCTGCTAGATTTTCATCCTGATCTTTGAAGCATTGACCTCTGCAATAACTGAGTAACAGAGACCATAGGAACACACAGATGGCAAACAGAAGAAAAAATGAATTAGCTCAAGGAAGCAAATCTCTTGAAAAATACAAGAAAGGATTTTGGTTTTAATGTATACAAAAAAACACGCAAAAGGACTGGTATGGAATATCTGCTAATAGTATATACTGCTGCTGTAATACTGATAAATTGTCATAAAGTATATTTTTATACATACATTTTAATCTTAATGAACTCTTACTGGGTATCTGTTTTCCTTTTCTCCCCAGAAAAGTTCACTAGTATTGAGAGACTGCATTTTTCTCAGATATGGCAGATTAGAGGAAGACTGCCACAGTTCAGTAATATTTTAGTTACAAGGTTTTTGTTTTTCTTACCCAATATGCTGTCTGTAACTTGGTTATGTCTTGGCTTGCTTTGCTGTTGTGGTTGCTTTCCTTCTTTTAACAGCAGAATTTCTGCCATTGTTTTCTCTTGTAAAACAGAACTGTCTCACTGAACCTAATTTTGTGTATCTAGAAGTTATTGCACCAATTTGAGGTTTTAAACAGTTTAAACTGGTGCATTCTTTCATGGACGCTTTAAATGATTTAATTGTTGTAGTATTTATTGTTGTGGTATTTATCCAGCATAAGCTGGCAAATAAACTTAATCACCTTAAGCCAATTTAATCAGTTTAACACTGGTCTGCAACATTTTCTCCCAACTTGATCAGATTAAGAAATGAATTTAATTCTTTTTGAAGTCTTACTGTATTTTGATAGTGATTTTTATCAGTAAAAGACTGAGTAAATGATGACTGCACCTGACTTCATAAAGTAACAATCTCTCAGGCTTCAAACAGAACTGTTCTCAAAACTGAATTTGATAAATCAAGTTGTCAAATGGAAGTAATATGACTGTTGAACACCTTTCATGTGCTGTTTCTTGGAAGTGGCTACTTACAGTTGAATAACCATGTTTCTTGGTGCTAGTTTGGATTCTGTTGTATCTCATGGGAAACCAGTTTGGGACTGTTGGTTTTTAATGATGTTGATTAGAGCTATGTGTAAGCCATGCATTTTCTTGTGTACCAATAAAGGGAAAGATAATGTTTCTGATCAGTCTGGCAGCAAGAGAGAATCCTAAGGACTGTTGGATAACGTTGAAGAAATGAATTCTCAGCTGAAGTTTCATGAGGTCACTTGTCTTATTTCTGTATTTAACTACTTGTGTACTGATCAATCTGGTCAGAGTCTATTGATCAAACAAGTTCATGCAGCTCTGCTCATAGCAAACTTAGTCTTCTGGTTTAATCTCTAGCCACCTTGTGATAAAATAATTCCCCAATATTTTTGTCTATCTCTGAAACAGTGTCTTAACAGTTTTGTCAGCGAGCTTAGAAATGCTGATCTTAGGCCAGCAAAATCATTTCCTGCTGTGCCAAGATACCTGAGACTAGTATAAGACAGACAGCACAGTGACACCAAAAACTATGCTCAACACTAGCATCACTGGTGTGCAAATCATGTGCAAATGGCAGGACAAAATCTCCAGAAGAAACTAGGTAGCCCCTTATACAAAGGAAATACTGCAGAGTCTCTCTAGAGGAATGATAATTTCCACAATGTTGAGCCTAGGGCAAGGGAGGAACCAGTCACAGAGGAGAATTGTAGTGTCCTTGTCTGATGATCAAGAATGAAAACTTACTTTTGCTACTGTTAATAAATTGTGCCTAAAGATAATATGCAAAATCACAGCTTTGTAGAACAAGAATTCAAGAGACTTGCAATGATTGAATTTCACCTCACTTGTAAAAGCACTTTTTATCTTTAGTTTCATGTGACCTGGCAAAAACAGGATGATGTTGTCCCAGCCAATCACTTTGGGGAAAGTCCTAAGCATCTGTGCCTTTTATACCTTATTCTAACTATGCTTTACTCAGTAGTGTCTGATTCTGGAATGTGAATTTCTTAATGCCAGGGAAGACTATATTGAAGGGAAGAGCAATTTCAGTGTTTGGGTTTAAATGAGATATTAGCACTATTGCTGATCTCATATGAGTGAAAACATTCCCGGAGCATTTTGAGTTTAGTAAGACTCTTGAAAACCAGACATCGATTACATTAGAGAAATCCTAAGGATTGTTTTACATCCTGTCAATGTGTGGTCTCATTAGGATGATTTGATAACTTTGGGCGGAAGTCATGCCAGCTGGATTAGTGAGCTGTATGTGACTAACCAAGTTCTACATACTGTGGTTAGATCTTTCCAGCTGACTTGGACTGGACTGCCTCATTCTCTTATGATTTTTCAGATCACAACTGTGACTCTTGTTTAACAGTATTCCTTCTTGAAATCCAAGCTACAAACATGACACCATAGTTCAATGTTAACTTTAATAAATTTACCATAATTCTATAGTTTCTTTGGTTCCTAGTAATTCTGTGTAAAATTTCTAGGTCCTGCTCCCTTCAGACTTTTCTCCCTGCCTTTCAAACAGGAAACCATTTCACTTTCTGTGCCTCTGAGATAGAGATTTCTTCTGAAGGAGCTTTTTGATCCTTTATCACCTCTAATGCATTTTGCTCCCTTTCAGTTTCATCAAGCTGCTGCTTCTAGAATGTACTATTAGGAGCAAGCAATTATCAAATAAATCCATCTGGTTTCTCATGTCCTCACTTAGAGGGAAGGATAGAGTAGTGCAGATAGCACTGATCATTAGGCTTCCTAAAACACTAGTATAGGTATAATTTTAACTGGGAGAGAAGGTAAAGTACAGAATAATCCACAAGGGAATATACATAAATACTCTGCTTGAGTAGTGGTAGGGCTTCTTCTCTTGAGATCCTGTTCTCTAGAACAAGAATGTAACCATTATGTCTGTTCTAAAATGGTGGTAAGTTGCTGCTTACTGTCATTTGATGGGGTTGTACTTTCATTAAGTTACATGCTAGATTTATTGCAGAGCTTTATAAATTCCTATATTTGTCAATAGTAATGGGAAGTATTGAGGAAGGTGTCACATTTTGTATGATCTTATTTCTTGTGTATTTCTTGGATGGGTATTTTCTGTACTATGCATCTTGGTAAAATTCTAAAATTTTTTAGAGGAAAAGAAGCACTGTTAGGCACTGAGAGGTCATGTAATCATTCCTCCTCCTTCATCTTGATATGAGTCTCAAGCACAAGACCAGATGGATGATCCGTAAAAGGCAGTAGGTAAAAAAAATTGTTCTATTATGTGACAATTGATAGCACTGTGTTATAATTCCTTCTTTAATAATCTCGCTTTACTGGAATAACTTTCTTGTTCAGTAATAGTCAAAAAGGACCCTTCTCATTTACTTCACTTGGATAACCTTGAGCAAAGTCAAGTACATTGGTAAGTGCATTTAAATATGTTTCTTCATGATTTTAGCTGGAATTATTGAATACACCAACTGAAAGTATTGGTACTCTTAATGTATAAGAAGCACAAAGAGAAGAGACCACGTTAGTACAATGCATTGTTTTATTACTTGGACCATACTGTACATCAAGTCAGACAGGTGACTTCCCACTTCAGAGGTATATGTAATGTTAATAGACACTGTACATGACATACATCTTCCTGGACAAGGTAGTAAAGAATGTTTCAGACAGGTTAACAGTTTACTTTTAAGATATTTAATGTTTATTGGTATAATTTAAATCAGAGGGACATCATGTATTTGGTAAAATTGCTTTATTATAGTAATGTAGTTATTATAAAGTCTCTATATAGTTTTCCTTCCCAGATCAAACATGTTGCCTGTTAGATTAGTTTTCAGTGGTTTTGCAGGAGTAAAATTTGAAAACAGCTGTTTGGGGTTGGGGGTGCTGGCATTATTCATTTAACAGAGATATAATGAGGGCTGGTTTTGTAAAATCCAATTAAATGTAATGAGTCTGGGCTCATCTTATATCCAGCGGTGCAGTTAGCAAGATGGACTGAGGGTACCATGTAACATTTCAAATAGGGGATCAGGTGAAGTGGAGTTTGTTATCTTACAATTCCTCTCAAATATATTCTCATTCATAATATTTCTTTTAGATAACAATATTATCAAAGTGGAAAGTGTTCTCATCTCCCCAGAGAAGCCTCATTTTTTTAATATATTGAATTAATTAATATTGTATCCTGTTTGAAAGGAAGTTGGCTTTCTTTCAGCTGTGGAGAATAATGGTCCTCTTGGAATGTAATTGTACAAAATGTTTTGCTGCAATAGTCTGTGTGTCTGGTTTACAGCTGTATAGCATGAAAGGTATGGAGTTCAGGTCCCCAGTGAACAATCAAGAAGAGAAGACTGTCCTATTTACTTTATTTTTATTAAAAATAATTGCTCTGAATTATTTTACAGAACAGTAATTTACTTAACAAAGAAAACTCTACCACTAAAACAGACAAATGTCCTGGGGGCTTAAGCTAGTTGAATTTTCTGTGTAAGAATGGCCATACTAGGTCAAACCTAAGGTTATTGTAATCAATGCTCTGTCTCCAGGAGAGATGTGTTTAGGGAGAAATATATAAGGACAGGACAGGTGCCTTGTATTACTTTCTCAGAGTACTCCAGTAGTCCTGCAAGCCTCCAATCATTTGTGACTTCAGGACTTCTTTTATGCTTCTCCCTTAGTATCAACACAGTGTGTTGTACATTGGGGTCAGCTGAAAACATCGAACTGAATTACTGCAAGAAATGCATTGTGCTGAGGGTTGTGAACAGGTGCTCCTAGGTTTTTGATCAAGAAACACTCAGTACTTTCCACCACACTCATTCAAAAGAGGTTTTAAATATAATGCTGCTATTGTAAATAAATTGTAAATTTAGTAGTCAACATCTTTGGGGCTTTGTCTGTTTTGGCATACTTAGTGGGTTTCCATCCCTTTTGGTGAAGCTACTCTGTGGTGATGCAAGGCAGTGGACAGTTAGGCCTGGTATCATCATTGACAATTCTTAGGTTGTTTTAGGTTCTGTCCGCATGATGGATGATCATTTGTGCCCAGCATAACCAAGAACTGGAATTTACTAGTCAAAATAACTAATACTAGGAGATTGTTTGTCTTCCTGTTTTGTTTACTCTGCTGCATATTAATTAAATTGGAAATACATTTTAAAGAGAGGAATGATAGAGTTCCAGCCTACCAAGGACCAGGTCTTCTCTTTGCATTTGGGCAAGGAAAGAATTTACTTATTTTATTCTTGTCTACTTAGGAGTGTAAAGTGGTCAAAGATTTTGTACCCTTTATCATTAGATTAGGAAAGACAGTGAGAGCTTTTCCATTTTAAGGTTTTTTTAATCTGTGCTGTTTACATGCTGTGGCAGAGAGCATGCCATCGTTTAACCAACTCCTTGGGCTTGCTGATCATTTCATTCCAGTGTTCTAGTTCTTTGCCACGGGTATACATGAAAGGCCCAACTATTGCACGTCCTAGCAGATGTGTTTCTGGGAAAACAAAAAAAGCTATTAGTGATTAACACCTGTGAGTGCTTCTCTGAAATCCTTACCTAAATTAGAACATGAACTTGCATTTCTCAAAGTAATGCATGTTCTGAAAGTTATTTTTAAACCAAAATTTTCATCGAGGAATTCACTCTAGATTTCAAGTTCCGTAGTTTCTGCATGGTAAGACTCAGCATTAAAAGGTACTGCAGTAAGTGGGCCTACCCTATTGCCTGCGCTCTAAACTAGAATCTGTTTAATGTGCACAGACCTGTATCTGCCCAGCCCCTGCACCTCAAGTGTACTGTGGAAGTGTGTGCTAGTTTGGGGCATCACCAAACCTAGTAGGATTCATATGATGCTCTAGCTTGGGAAAGAATAGATTTAGTTACTGAGACAGCTGGGAGTGGCAATATGTGGGTTGCCACTGACCACCCTCTGCCAGTGAGGGGATTGTGTCTTTGTGCCTGAACTTTTCAGCTGTGGATGGGGAGAACAATTTGAACCTGCCTTACATGAACTTCAGAGTGTTTGTAAAGCATTTGGCTGTCTGCAAGTGAAAATGATGAAAGGCTTGAGTACTGATCCTGGTTCTTGTCAATCCTCGAAGCCAAAGCACCTCCCCAAAATGTCACCTAAGGGAGTTTTTTTAGGAGCATATGAATCCAAATGAGGTTATTAATGTTTCATTATTGAGATCATATTTGTACTGCAGGGAAGATGCTTTTCTTGTGAGCAGTGGAAATACTGAATTCTGATTTCCTTTTCTAAGCAGAACTCCTTAATGGATTCTCTGACAATTAGTAAGAGGTAACCTCAAGCATCAGGTTTTCTGATCCCTCCCCCAAATGGGGATGTTTGTAATCTCTCATTCTTCTTTCTCACTGCTTGAACTGCTGTGATAATTAAAATTCCTGTTCCTCTTTCAAATTTGGTTAGGAACAGTGAATGCCTTCAAAATTTTGGAGGTTGGGGGTTATACACATGAGTGTTCACAGAATGTAATTGCATAAGCTTTTTTTCTTAGGATACCAAAATGAAACAACAGTACAGCACCTTGTACTGACAGTGACTAGCCTACAGATATTTTATTTATGTCTTCCATTAAATTTATCTTTAGCCTCTGAAATAGAGACATACACTTACTGCAATAATTTATTCTGCTTTTTAAAGAAACAGCCTGTGAAATTTCCCCCAACCTTTTATATGTTTTGTGATTGTTTCTGAAAAGGAATTAGTTCCATGTTTAAATATATCTGCAATATGTAAGAGATTTACAACATTTTAATTGTAATAATTTACATAGCTTACTTTCTCCCTTGATATTCTGGAGCACAGATAGACTCAGGCTTGCTGTATCCAGCTCTGTCTTATCTGCCTTGAAACTGAAGGTTTCATTATACACTGGATTGGGAGATCCCAGAACAGCTGTTGTCTTTTTACTTTTGATGAATTTGTTATGGTTCATTAGTGAGACTTTGACATACACACCTTGGAGAGAAAGAAATGCAAGAAAACACATCAGAGGCAGTTGGGAGAAGTCTTAAGGAATTTCTTGCTTTCAGGAGTCAATATTAAGTATAAAATTAATCATGAACAATTTGTGAAATGTGCATGGCAATGCATAACATTAAGCAAGGAGTACACAAAGTACTTGGGGTGCAGTTTTGCAGTGCACTTTCCAATTTAAGAGCTGTTAAAAGGAGCAGTCATATTCTTACCCTGCATCCTTGATCTTATATTTGTGTACCTTGCCTTCATCTGATGGAGACTTCTTTGAAGGCTTAGTTTGCTGGGTCAGTAGTTAATTTTGTATATTTGATCATGAGTGTTTGATCTAACACAAGGGAGGCTGTGATGGAGGAGCCATGTTGTAGAGCTGCAGTCTGTGCTTGGATTGGATGTGTTTCAGGGGAACAGATTCTCCTAGTCAAAGAAGAATCTTTAAACAAAAGGTTTTACTAATGACTTCTAGCCCTGGGGTAAGGGATTCTATAAAAAATTTCAGGAGAAGATGAATGATCTCTGCTCATTCTTCTAGAAAATATTACAAAAATTGTGAGTGAGTGTGGGAACAAGAACACGAAAAAACTTCACTTTGCTTCCTGAAGGGGAGCTGTATTGCATTGTGGTCTTATTCAGTAGATCTTTGACAATGAGATCCAGAGCAGCCTGAAATTGTCCATTCTTCCCTACCCTTCTACAAAATCTAGTGACAAACATGTAGAAATTTCATCTTAATTGATGGCTAAAGATCTGTTCTTTTGCAGTGAAGCAGTAATAGATTCTATGCTTCTACTGTGTTTATTACTACCTGCTATTCACCTCCTTAAGGTTCATCTGTATAGCAAAAATAATTAGAAATGTCAGGATTGAGACAGCATTTGATGGACTCCTAATGTCTCCTTGTTATTTCCACAGGTCCAGTAGGCCCTCATTACTGTTGCAGAGGGTGCAGGATTATGACAACAGATTTTTTTTATGACAGAGCTGCCACCTGAGTGCTATATATAGAAGGAGATACTATGTAAACTACTTGCACAAAGTCTGACTTTTCATTACTGTCTTATTACTACTTAATAGATTTAATTCAGTAATGTGAATCTAAAAATAAATATTTCCTTACTCTCCTATACTGCATATCTGCCATCAAAGATTAGTGTTGCACTAATCCCTGTTAATATAGGAAACTTCTTATTCCAGTTTCTTCAGGATTTACCAGATAATCTGTGGACCCTAAATCATACTTGAAGGGCATTAGCAAAGGAAATAACCCCCAATTTATTTAATTTTCTTTTTTTTTTTTCTTAGTAATATATTCTGGAGAAGTGCCTTCTGGCAGCTCTTCCTTCCAGAGCGTGCCCATGACTCTTGGTTGTTATGATAACTTCAAGTATACTAGCACTAAAATAACATGGCAGATTCATGTTAGATTTGTACAAAGAAACACAGAGTTCTGGCTCTGTGCTACAGAACTTCACAACAACCTGCAAGCAAAGACATGATGTATTAAGTGTGCTTTCCCTCCCTTGTAAAGCTATTGACATGATGTAAAATTAGAACATTTGCTCTTAGTTCGTGATGCTACTTTCTTCATCTGCCACAAACAAGTCATATTTTTTTCTGGCCATCTTTACCTTGGTTATTTGTTTTCTAAAACTAATACATTCTGTAATATATTTCTCTTTCAACAAGTGCACAGGGTATGATTCTGCTTGTTGGAAACCTCTATAGTCTCATAATTTTACTGTGCATTTCTTCATTTGTGAGTTTTACTCTAAGCAGAGCAAATTTATCTCTTAACGTGAATGTAGATTTACTCAGAAGGCATCGTTTCTAAAGCTAAACATCCTGGTAACAGCCCACTCAAACCTCAGAAAAACTTTGTGTGTGCATATAGAGAACTAAACCTCTTTTCTTTTTAACTGCTGGGTGTATTTTGTGTTTATATTATTTAGTTTCAAAGCTCTTTAAAAAAAATCACTACAGGTTCAAACACAAGTTTGGTTCTTCCATCTATTTTGCTTTGAGTGTTTAGATTTTCAATAGCATTTTGAGGTAATCTCTGCACTCAACATCTCTGAGCCAGAGACACATGAGCATGATGTACCAGGAAGACTCCCACTGCAGTAAGGAGGAAAACTTGTGACTCCATGCCATGGTCCTTTGAACAACGGCCAGGCTGTCCTAAAATGGGAATTTTTTCCAGTTCAGTTGTCCCTAGGACAGCTGTTCAGTGTAAGCAGTTGTCCTGCAGCTGCTACCCCTGGGCTTTTGCCTTGAGGCAACTCTGTTAATATCAATATCCCCTGAAATGCTACCTTCTCTGGACTGGAGTGCAGCAGAGGGATGTTGCTCACTGTATTAAAGCTGGAGAAAAAAATTGCTACTGATGACATGAGACAAACCATTTATTATGAAACAAAACCAAAACATAGCAGAACTGGCTATCAAAATCAAATTACCCCAGTAACAAAGTATGGCTTTTTTCCACTCAGATTAAATCACACGGATGTTTATTTGTTCTTTTCAGAGTCCCTCAGCACAAGCCTGGGTGGAGAGATGAGGAAGGACCAAATTAAAACAGGAATTCTGGAGCTGATAGCAGAGAGGAAATCACACTTACTGACAGCATGGCTCTCCTCCTGGAGCTTTAATCCTCTTGCCCTCAGAACCACTACAGTGAGACGGCCCAGGTAGTCATTGTAGCTGAGGGAGAACTGGATATCACCATGCTCTGAAGGAGGCTTTGGAAGCAGGAGAACACTTGTCAAATATATCTCAAAAACTCCCTCTTCACACAGACAAATGAGGGAGGAAGTTCTTCATACTAGTGGTTTCTGCCACACTAAGGCATGCGAGTGAATTGTAATGGCTTTATTTATGCTGTTGTGACATTTGATAGAACCAATTAATCAGCCTTCTGAACCTCTGAATTATTATCTCTTTTAGGTGATGCCTATTTCCTTGCTTTTACTGCCTTTTTCTGCTCTTACTAATTCAAAACAAGCAAATAACAAAAGGCGCTTTCTTATGTATCTCCTACTCATGTGACAGTTTCTGAGCAGTTGGATAATCCCTATACAATAGCTATGGATCTGCAGGTTGGCAAGATGGGAATTTTGATTCCAAATGTTTATCAAACACTTTTGTATCTGCTGTATACAACATACTTCTTCTTCAGCTGTACCCCTCCAATACTTGTAAAATGACAGAAGTTCCACAATGCCAAGCAGCCTGGTATCACATACCTCCAAGTTTTCTTTCTCCAGATCTCTCCATATGACTAGTTTGTTGTCATCAGTCAATGTTTGATTTTTCAGTGGGAAGGTAACTTGGCCTAGGAGATGATGCTTCTTCTGTTTATTGACATGATAAACCAAAAACTTCAGAGTCCTTTGGAGCAACATTTTACTGGAAACCTGTACAGGAAAAGAAAGAATATATTAATAATTACAAAACATCTGACACTTTTCTACTCTAGCATGACTTCAAAGGAAGAATTTTGCAAAGTGTATTAAAGGTAGGTGGAGATTTCCTTTGATTATTTGAAGTCCACTTTCTTAATTTGCCTAAAGTTTTAGCTATGCAGAAGTCTCAAGATCCAAGCTAAAACAGAACGAGTTCATTTGACAATGTGAAGTTAGCTGGCGGTTTTTCAACTCATCCAGATCTAGTGTTATATGATGCATTCACTTCCAGACACAAACGTTTAGAAATCTGTAAACACTCAGTTTTCAGTTGTCTGAAATACAAACTTTTTTGGTTTTAAAGCTTTTGTCTTGTGATACCTGCTGAAAGCCTCTTGGCATAGGGAGCCAAGCTCCTAGCTTTACAGCACTATATAAATAGCATACCAGACATCTCATGAGTTCTAGTTTCTAGCCTGCTTCCACAGCAAAGAAACTAAAAGCTATGACAGCATTAGTTCAGTATTGGTTACTTCTGGACTTCTAGGGCTGCTGGGCTAAACTGCTCAGCCATAGCTCAAACTAGAGTTTTCATCATTCCTAGGGAAAGTTCTGGAATCCTCAACTTTGGTGTAGACCACATGTAAGATCAGTTCTGGAGCCACAGTCTTCTGTAGCCCAGGATCTCCAGAAGCTCCAGTAATAAATCCTATCTCCAGTGGAAACTACTTGTATATTGGTAGAAGTTTGTAGAAAATTAATTTTCACAAAACATGTACTGTAGTTTGACAAGTCAATATTTGCAAACAAAAATCTGCTTCATCATAAGGACAAGTACCTGAAAAACAAAGTTTTCATCAAACTGCGGGTTAAGGGTTTTGCGTTTTGTTTTGGACTGCAAGTAGCTTCTTTTATCAGGCAGCAAGTAGATTTTCACAAATAGACTACAGGAATCAGCAGGAGGCTGCAGCTTTCTGACTTTGATCAAGGAGACGAGGAGCCTTTCTGACTCTTGCTCATATTCTATGGAAAACCAGAGGCGGCCAATGTTGCCTTCAGGAAAATCTGTCTCACTTTTGTCTTCAGGAAACTTGTACAGGTCTGGGTTAATGGTCCCTACAACATAAGCTCCAGCTTCATGAAATAAAAAAACAAGCACCCTCAGATTAGTATGAAGACCATAGCAGACATTTTTATAACCACTGCTGTGTTAGGGGAAATCACATTAATCTGTTTATTAACAATCCATTTTTGCATAAACTTGGTATTTTAATTTTTTATCCCTCAAATTTGGACGAGTACTTGTGGGCTGCACCACTTTTCTTTCTCTTATTCCTGTGACTGTACCTTGATAGTTTTAGGTATTTGTTGTTGCAATCTGCGACTGGTCACTCTACTGTTTCTGGGGACGACAATCAGACAATTTCTGAGTTACACTCATATTGTGCCTTTACAAAACACAGAAGGAGGGATTGCTTTGTCTGCTGTGTGTGCAAGATCCCACAGCAGTGGGACCAGAATGGCTACATTCTGGCCCAATTTCTCTCTGTATATAAAATATATAGTGTTTAGGGCTTGTACTGTGTAACACTGGTATGCTCCCAGTAAACATGCTTCATAATAGTAGTTACCTTTAAGAGTACCCTTAGAAACTGAGTCCCATTTTTGCAATGCCATACCCAAAGAATGAAATGATGACCGGGGCCCAGACTGAGGAATCATGTAGGGGTCACTGCCTTCCTGAACGTGTTCTTCGTTCGTCAGGTTAATCCAGTCTCGCCCATGCAGTGTTGGTGGAATGATAAATGGAACACTTCTGGATCTGCTCAAGACAACAGCTACTGACTCTTCTGGTTTAAATATGGAAACCAAACTTGGTAACAGTAATAAATTTACTGTTCTTATCTCACAATTTTGCAAAAATTCTATGGAGATATGTAAGTAGAAAAGATGATATACTCATCATTTTGCAATTGATTTTATTTGTATAATGCCTAGAGCTCCAGTGAGGGACATCAGATCTTAATTCTTCAAACAGATCCCTCACTTTTTCCCTTTCTTCTCCTTTAGAATTGATCTTTCAAAGGAAAGGAAGAATTAACTGCAGCTGCTTGGTTTTAAGCCCCAAAGCCTTGCAGTAACTAACTTTCTAAGAGAGTCTCCTTTCTGAGCTGAAGTCCTATTGTTTGGTTCTCAGATGCTTCATTATGAGACCACCAGGAATGACTCTGGAACATAGGCTGAATTTCTCTAGGTAATAGATAAAGCTATCCATGCACCAATTACACTTGAATGTATTATCTCTTTTACATAAATCAGAAATAATCATTGCATTCATAGTTAAAGTATTATTTTCCTACAGGAACAAAACAGAACATGACTGATGTTTTCATATAATTTAGGGGTCTTATTTATTTCTGTATATGCTTATAATTTGATCATCCCCTTATTTCAACTTGTAAATCTCATATAAATTACCAACAGCGTGTGCTTTAAAAACAAAAATATGTACCTTGTGCTTTTTAGTTGAGTTTCGGAAGTTGACTGATCCTGAAAAAGGGCATTTGCATTTGTCATTTTGACAGGACCGCTGAGCTTTTCATAAGAAAGGAGGCAGCAAAACTTCTTCCAGAGCAAGTATGCAGTTATTCCAATGAGAACAAATAAGAGGATCCCTCCTATTATACCTCCAGCAAGAGCAACTGCTTGTTCTGTTCAAACATAGAAGCCCATAAAGTATCAAAGTTATGTATGTTTTGGGGGTAGACAGGAATATTAAAGCTGACAGATTTATTTGATTTTACATTCCAAAATTATTTTTAAATGAAACATTCTGCTCAAGTGCACATTTTTGTCTTCAGTTATAGCATAGATGTATGACATCAGCAGTGAGACATTAGAAAGTGTTCAGGTATGCTGGCAATGACTGCAATGTAAGAGACTATAAACAGGAAAAAAACCCCAAACACAAAATGTTGTTTGGGCTCTTATTTTACATTAGCATAAGCATTTACCTTAGCATGGCAGAAGTGCTAGAGCTTTCATAACAGAAGAAAAAGAAAACCCAGGAGCACCTAAGACAAAAGGTACCATTATTTTGGTTTGGTTTGTTCTTCCAACTATTCATCTATGTTGAATTGAGACTAGATCCTGGCACAAGGAACAAAGCAAAGCTCTAGGTTGTTTTCTTTCTAAGGCTGCACATGTTTCCTGATCTGTAAAGTCAAAGTTAACTATCCCTTAATGCTGTTTCCTGAATCTTGATTACTTCAGATAAAATCAAATCTTGTATAATTTGGGGTTTGTTTTTTTTCACACTAATAAAACTTAATAAATGTCTTTAATATGTGTATGAGGAATTCAGTTGTGAGAATTTCTCACTGGACCAAGGGTAGACCATTGCTCATGGGCTCTGTTCATTGTTTTCCCATGTTTGCTGAGTATGCTAGAGTAAAAGGCTGGGAAGACCACTTCTGCACTGTACCTTATCCCCAGCCTGCCTTGGCCTACCACTAAACTAGTGCTGGTGCCTTGAGACGTGACTAGGTCTCAGCTGAGAATTGATCCTACCAGAATATGAGCCCCAACTGCTGAATTATCTTTCACTCTTGTCGTGGTTTAACCCCAGCCAGCAACTAAGCACCACGCAGCCGCTCACTCACTCCCCCCCATCCAGTGGGATGGGGGAGAAAATCAGGAAGAGAAGTAAAACTCATGGTTTGGGATAAGAACGGTTTAATAGAACAGAAGAAACTAATAATGATAATAATAACACTAATAAAATGCCAACAGCAATAATAAAAGGATTGGAATGTACAAATGATGCGCAGTGCAATTGCTCACCCCCCACCGATCGACACCCAGCCAGTCCCCAAGCAGCGCTTCCCCCTGCCCCCATTCCCCCCAGTTCCTAAACTAGATGGGACATCCCATGGTATGGAATATCCCTTTGGCCAGTAGGTCAGGTGCCCTGGCTGTGTCCCCTCCCAACTTCTTGTGCCCCTCCAGCTTTCTCGCTGGCTGGGCATGAGAAGCTGAAAAATCCTTGACTCTAGTCTAAACACTACTGAGCAACAACTGAAAACATCAGTGTTATCAACATTCTTCGCAAACTGAACTCAAAACATAGCACTGTACCAGCTACTAGGAAGACAATTAACTCTATCCCAGCCGAAACCAGGACAACTCTGCAGCCATGGGAGGCAGCCCTGCTTTTAGGTGGCGATAACTGTGATTATGCTTTATTCCTTTCTCCTTTTTATCTGTGCCTGGTAGGTACTTTGCAGTTAGCCACCTCTATAGGATGGTACAGGTAAATAATGACACTACAAGCACAAAATAATCAGTCAACACTAGTAGTAGTTTTGAATAAGAATTCAAAACTAATTTGATACAGTTTATTGATTAGAGCTATAAAGAGTACAGGAAGTGAGTTGCAAATATGCATATTACTGATCTTTTTCACTGTTGCCATGTTGCAGTAAGTGATATGAAATGTCCTTCAGCTACAGAACACTTATGTAAATACCTTGTGCTATAAAATTAACCTGGCCATAGTGCCTCAAAGGCCTTTATCTGATCCTATCTCATTTTCCTGCATTTGGTACAGTCGTAGGAGCCAACTTATTTTTGCAGCTCCCCTCCAGGTGTGTTACCTTAGCTCTCTGCAGGAATTGGCTGGCTGCTTCCCCCTGAGTCTTGTGATCACTCGTGTCTCCTAGCACTTTGGAGCAACCACCCTGCTCATGGCTATAGCACAGCAACAGGCACTTTGCTGTCCTTGCAACCTGTAGGTGGGCTGAACAGGTTTCAGCATTTAGCCAGGCTATTAGTACAACAGTATTAGTAGAAGACTTACCCTGAGGAACAGGAGACAAGTACCTGTTTGGTATGGGTTAATATTAATACAGAGACAAGTCTGGTTGTGCTACACTGGTAACTTAGTTTTGTTTCATGAGAATGCACAGTATGAGGAAATAAGTAACAAATGCAGTCCTGAGCATGGAAATTCTGTGTGTTTGTTCCTCTCAGTTTTGTAGAGCATGCTTGAGTATGTCTTCAGTCAGACTACCATTTTATTACATCTTAGAAGGCCAAATGCAGAAAAACTGCCTTTAGTTTAATGCCCATGAACATAATAGAAATTAATTATTATCTTCATAGAGATGTAGTATCAACAATACGAATGTTTTATGTGGCTGGTGGTTTTACTGTCCTGACATGGGTATCTTAAAGGTTAACATTTTAAGCAAGCTCAACAGGACTGTCTGTTTAACTTGTTCTCTCTATTCCCAAGTCTTTAACGATCTCAGCAGCAGTCCTGTGTGGGAACATCACCAGTTTGTCACCATTAAGGACAGTAAGCTGAGGTGCACTGTAAAGCAATATATAATACAGCAGCTGTGCATTGATTTTGGAGTAAGAGAATGAGTTTCCAATCTCTTCGTTAATGAGTTTAGTGTACTCAATTTGTTTACTGCAAAATGACGGTAAGTATTTATGACCCACCCACTGCCATTGGCTCAAATTCTGCTTTTTTTATTTTTGCACAGTGACAGAGGTAAGGTAAAGTTTTACCCATTTCAGTAAAGCTACCTATGATTTAATGAGGGTGAGGAGAATTTGGCTCACTTTCAGTCCATCTTATCTGATTAGATCAGTAACAGACCCAGTAGCTTAGAGCACAATGTAGCACTAGTCACAAAATCAACCATTTAAATTTAAAGTCGACGCCATTGTATAGAGGGAGAAAACACGTATCTTTTTAAATAACTACCTGTCATCATGAGAGACTGATGTATTGTATTCTGCTGTGGTACAGGATCGTGGCAGCTGGAGACGGAAGAGACCTGTTGGACCACTTCATCTGCGAGTGGCCTGGGCTGGCGGACTCTCCGCTGTTAATAGGTACCAGGTTTCTCCTAGCGCAGAGAAAAGTTGATGGTCATCATCTGTCTCCTTTGGGCCCGGATCCCCTTTTGCTTAGTGTCCGACGATACGTTTTTAGTAAGCTTTTCTTAAACCTGGCAGTAAGCCTTGTGGAGTTACGACCTGCCAGTTCTCCATCAAAAGCCTTAATCCCTCTATAAACACTCCGATCTACCATTTACGGTACCAGCAGGCGTACGGTGGAGCCCGAGTTATTTGGGGTGGCAGGCGGACTCCCGGCAGACGCCGCGCCCGTCTCAGGGAGCGAAGCTGTGGGTGCTCCGACAGCAGCGTGC